GCTCGCTCCTTCGCCCTGCCCTGGGCCCTCCTCCCCCGGGGTTGGCTGCACTCCTCTGCTCTTCCCTTTCTCTCCTAATGTATTTTCCTTTACTTATTTAGTTTTCTTCTTTTCGTCTTTCTTTTCCTCGCAGTATATTGCTTGTTCCTCGTTTCTTTTTCCTGCTTTCTCTTCTTCCAAGTCTTTTATTTTCTATCTCAATCCTTTTTTCTCTCCTAATCTTTTGCTTTATTCTTATTTGATTTTCTTCTTCCTCTTCCTCTTAGTCTTTTATTTAATCTATCATTTATTTTTCTACTTTCTTTCCCTCCTGTTCTTTTAGCTCAAAACTTCTCTCTTTTTTTCCTAATCTGTTTCTTTATTTCACATTTCTTTTTTCCTGTTTTTTTTTCTCATTTTATCATAATTATTATATCATTTTCTTCTTTCTTTCCGCCCTGGTCTTCTGATTGATTTCTCACTTCTTCTCGCCCCCCCTAGTAGTTACTTTATCTTTGAAAGTAATAATAATTATAACAATTATTATTATTATTATTATTATTATTATTATTATTATTATCATTATCATTGTGATTATCATTGTTATTATCATTGTTATTATCATTGTTATCATCATCATCATCATCATCATCATCATCATCATCATCATTATTATTGTTATTACTGTTATTAATTTGATATTATTATTATTATTATTATTATTATTATTATTAGTATCATTATTAATTCATAATAATGATTATCATTATTATTATTATTATCATTATTAATTCATAATAATGATTATTATTATTATTATTACTATTATTATTATCATTACTATTATTATTATTATTACTATTATTATTATTATCATTATTATCATTATTTAGCTTTCTTGCTGTCCCTTCTAGTCTTTTATTTCATATGTCACGGCTGATAATGTGTACAGCGAATGTACAGCCCACGCCATTTAAAACACCCATGCTAATCTTCGCGCGCGACAGTGAACTTGGGTGAGTGCAAGGTAGTAGACCCACTGCAGCCTGATGAATATCCTAGTTTCCAACTTTCGAGATAATCCCAGGCCTCATCACTTCTATTCATTGCAAATATTAAATATCTTTTAAAAATCTACCGGTGAAGATGGGTGGTAAAATATAACATGGGTGACATGGCTCTCTGGTGTCCATTGTGGTGATACCTCAGATTGTGTGACTTAATATATATATATATATATATATATATATATATATATATATATATATATACATATAATAATATTCATACATACATATATACATATATATATATATATATATATATATATATATATATATATATACAATATACATATATATATACATATATATAGATAATATATATATATATATATATATATATATATATATATATTTAAGAATATTTGTATCAATAAAACCAGAATACACACACACACACACACGGACACACACGGACACGGACACACACGCACACGCACACGCACGCACGCACGCACGCACGCACGCACGCACGCACACACACACACACACACACACACACACACACACACACACACACACACACACACACACACACACACACACACACATATATATATATATGAACCGTATTCATGTTGACAAATGTAGAAAAGGTATGAATGAGAATGAGTATCTTCACAATACAAGAGATGTATTTGACCGGTTTCGAATTATGTGTTCGTCAGAAATACATACAACAAAGGAATTACAGAGTAAATATAAATCAGACATGAGCTGACGAGCTACCTGACTGTGACCTCCCCCTCGTTGATCGTATAATTGCTGCCGCGATCTTTGATAATTTGAACCATAATTTGTTCAGTCCTCCATGGACTATTTTTGCTTCTTCCCAAATAGGTAGATGTCCAGCTTCATCTACATGGACCACCATGGCGTTGGAAGTCCTATGGTGACGGATGTCAGCTCGGTGTTCGCTGATCCTGGTGCTGAAACCACGGTCTGTTTCACCAAAGTATGCTGTGTCGCATCTGCTGCAGGATATGTGACTAACAGAGCACTGTTAGTGTTGTTTTCAGGCTGCTTTTTCCCTCGTATCATATCATGTATCTTATTCCCGGATGTGCTGGCGATTCTCACTGTGTTGTCGAAGTATCTGCTGATCGCCTGGGAAACGTTGCAAGACGGTAATACGAGAAAATCATTAGAAGAAGGTGCAGGATTAGATCTAGTGAGTATACCCTCCGCCTTCTTTCTGAGGTTTAGTAGGAAGCCTTTGGGATATTTATGTTTCAAGCAGGAATGAATTATATAGACAACCTCATCCTCGAGGAATTCAGGGCTGCAGATCCTCAGTGCCCTGAGGAAGATGCCGATTACAACGCCAGATTTTGTTTTATTACTGTGGGTGGAGTAGTAATTGATATAATCGTCTTTATTTGTAGGCTTTCTGTATACAGAGAAACATCGGCCGTCGTCTCCCCGATGGATCAGAGTGTCCAAGAGAGGTAACCTAATCCTCTTCCTCCTCCACGGTTAACTGGATTTTCTCGTGGACGGAGTTAAGTCGCGTCAGTTGTAAGCACGACCTTCTGGGGACAATGACGATGACATCATCCATGTATCGAAGCCAAGTTGAGTGTCTGCCGATTATGTCCTTGTAACTATCCCTCTCCAGCGTCTCCATGAACAGACAGGCCATGACTGCACTCAGGGGGAGCCCATGGCAAGACCGCTTACAGTCAGTCAGGTAGCTCGTCAGCCCATGTCTGATTTATATGTACTCTGTAATTCCTTTGTTGTATGTATTTCTGACGAAGACATAATTCGAAACCGGTCAAATACATCTCTTGTATTGTGAAGATACTCATACTCATTCATACCTTTTCTATATATATATATATATATATATATATATATATATATATATATATATACATATATATATATATATATATATATATATATATATATATATATATATATATGCAATGCAATTGAGTTTTGCGAAGTCTGGCTTCGCCCGGGCCTTCGGCTATGGCCCGGCCTGTGTCAGCTTTTTAGGGCTGACTCATTTATATATATATATATATATATATATATATATATATATATATATATATATATATATATATATATATATATATATGAGACTGATGATATGATGGAATACAATATTTGAAATACAGTGGTTATTAAGGTTACATAAAAGGGAATTCATAGCACAGGTAAATTTAAGATACACATACAATTGTTGTTAGTGGGTCTATATCCTTTTTGGTCTTGTATTTAGAAACTTGATGTTCATTTGATTTTACTATAAGTGTATGGTATCCACGTGTCTGTAAGATTTTTAGCAATGTTTTAGCAACTATCTAGAAAGAGAATATTTTATTTGTGATTCATTTTGAGGCTACTGGTGTCGAAAGGTCCTCTTCCTTTGCGAGATTTTTTTTTCTTTTTTCTTATGAATTCACTTGAAGTTGTGAAGGAATTGTGAACCACTGGCGTATTGGACAAGATGGCACTTTGTGGAATACAGTTCAGAAATCGTCTAAGAATTTAGTGAGTAGCATTGGACCTCATATAAATCCCCGTGGAACAACTATAGATACAATTTGTTTTGCTGATATAGTTTGATGAGATTTGATCGACTGGACGTTAGTGATTACATAACATCTGAACTAGAATGTATCGATTTTTTGCTTTTACTGGTTTGTCAAAAAGGATTTCATGGTTAGTTTGGGATTTCATGGTTGGTTTGGTTTGTGAACGTATGTTTAGTTGTTGTCTATCTTAGGTATAAAAGAAAAAAAGTTAATGTTTACTCTGCCTGTTTTTTAGCCTATAATACTGGTATTGGTAAATGATAATAACAGCAGCAATAATTAACGTCATAAAGGCAACATAAATAGAAAAAAACGTACAGTTTGCAATAACGAATACAGCTCACAGGGAAATTGCTTCTTAGATTGTTAATTTTATTTTGATAGATATTATTTGAATCCTCAGCTGTTAAATGGTTTTCCCGAAATTTTCTCTGATATATTGCTTAGTCGAGAGAAAAAATGAAGCCAGAATCAACTTTACTAATACATGTAACTATTTTACAGTATAGAGAATCAAATATAAACAACAGAAATTATAAAGAGAATCTACCCCCCCCCCCAAAAAAAAGAAAAAAAAGAAAAGAAAAAGAAAAAAATATATATATATAATTATGTGAATGCCGCATAACGCATCTCTCTCTCTCTCTCTCTCTCTCTCTCACCACTATGTTGAGGTGATATGAGAGAAGGTGCTACAGGGGTATTTGAATGATATATAGCCTGTACCCCCTCCCCACAACTCTGTCTGCTCTCTCTCTTTCTCTCTCACTCTCCCACTCCCTCCCCCTCTCTCTCTTGTTCTGTCTACTTAAAATCTATCTCTAGATCTCTTCTTCATGATTGCATGTAAAATATTTCTCTGGACCTCTGCATATACTGGAACTTCTCTAACTGGTCCTTTGCTCATACAGTATTCAAATATTTCCTTGGTATCACTCTTTTTATCACTTCATTATGTTGTTTCAATTTTCCTACAAGATACTGTAGATGTACATGTAAGTCCCACTATCATCACCCTATCAATTTCAGCATTACTGTTATTAATAACTTTATTAATACTTTTGATTTTAAATGTTATTGCTGTTAGTTTTAATGTCCATGTCATTGTTATCAATTACGTTTCTGATGTTGCATTAACATTTTTAGTATTGGCATTATTAACACTGTCATAATGATTCCATTTTATTATCACCAATATAATATTTTTCAATATCGTTATTTTGATCAATATCATGATGCCAATCATATTGATAAAAACTATTATCATTTAATATTATTGTCCTTCTTGTTGCTCTAGATATAATTATAATAATCATAATTATATATCATATCATTGTACTTTGTATTAATATTATTAGTATGACAATATTGATACAATACCAATTCAACTACATCTAATAAGAATGATAAT